TACATATATTATTTTAACAATATAAACATAATATATTAGTACCTGGTTGACCGAGCTTTGCTCGGTTTTTTTTAATTCGTGTGTTTTGGAAATTATATTTAGATACAAATTACATACTGATGAAATACGTATAAATAATATTTTTTGATCTTAGCGACATAACAGAAAAAACGGAACTGGTTATTTGAATAAAAAATCATGAGTGCAATTATTTTAATTTAAATTTTCGTGTTTTTAAAAAATACTAAAAAAGAATTTCTAAAAAAAAAAGGAACTTGAAAAAAAAAATAAAAAAAGTCGGTCGGTCTGGGCTCGAACCGGGGTTTTACGATTCTGTGACCGCCCATTATACCAATTAAGCTATTTATAATCATTAACAGTCTGTCAAAATTTACCTTCTTATTCTAACGATATTGTAGCAGTTTTTCATTGCCTAAAAATACGGACAAAAAGACATTTTCTAAAAATAAATCCTAGCTAGATCGATTTTTTATCCCCGAAACTCCCTGGACACTAAATTTTATGAAAATCGTTGGAGCCGTTTCCGAGATCCCGATTATATATATATATATATATATATATATATATATATATATATATATATATATATATATATATATACAAGAATTGCTCGTTTAATAGTATAGGATTTTAACAATAATATTCATATAACATCTGCATCTGATCTTAAACCGGAATAATTTTCCAATTAGACTTAGGTACGATTATGTTTGTAAGTAGATAGTTTTTTTATCAAGTTATGTACACAGTGACCCTGACGAGCCTTTGTAGACATTGTAAATGGATGTGAGGCATAAACAATTACAAAAACTATAACATTCATTTATGCGCAATTCAAATCCACAATAAATGCGGAAAGAATAATCCTCACTAAATATGATATTAAAAATAAGTTTTTTTTTTTAAATTTATGTTCAACAAGTAGGCGAGGAAGTTAATGCCGGCGTAAGAGCATCCACTCGTAGCGTCCCTCCGAGCGTATGGGAAACCCCAAAAATATTTCAAAGCTTCCTATAGAGGCGGTATAACCCTCTCATAAGGCCAGACGTCAAATACGATTAGCGATGGGCAGCAGGATCCAAGTTGAGTTAGGTTTGTTATTCGATTGTGAATTTGCTTGTCAAGCGTGACGATTGAAGCCTACCTACAACGGACGAGGCGTATGTCCGGCTGTGGACTTCAAAGGCCGATGAAGATGAAGAAGTAAATGAGGATTCACAAACATTGACTGCCTTGTTGGTAGTGTATCAGTTCATTCATCAGTTATTAGATTTATATTTCAAGAAACTCTGAGTAGCAGCCCGGATTCAGGAAGTTAGTTTCACCTCAGATACTGCGTAAAGCCGTCGGTCCTGCGCCTGATCTCTCTCCGGTCGTGTCACATTTACGTCTCTTCGGACTATGAGAGTAAGGGAATAGAGTATAGCACTTGTGCTTGCGCACACACTCGTGCACTATAATCCAGTACGCAGATGGCTAGTTTCCGTTAAGATTGGCCATTTGTCACATGCCATTTTGAAAACTTTTAGTTTTGGTCCGATCCCTTTAAAATCAATATCTTGGTGTCCAAGTCGTCTATGAACACGAATTCGTTGTGAAAACTGAAAAAAATAGCCGCTATTTTAAAAAATCTTGTCGATTGACTGATTGCTTTTGCAGTCAATATCTGGGAGTCCACGTAGTTTATTGGCTCGGCCACACTATGCTCCTCGCACTGCTCCTCGCGCCGCCGCGATGTAACCCTCTCTGCACACACTCGTGCCCTATTCACGCAATTAATCGCGATGTTCAGCACAAGTTCGCCGCGCGCAACACAATAGTTGTTGAAACTGTGGCAGCATGTGCGCTATATGCTTATGCATATTTAGTAGGTATAGCTAATTATATCAATGTCATAAAGATGAAATATAGATCGTCATCAGATTATGTAGCCGACCACTCGTGCTCATATTGCCCGTCTTTTGACTTGCGCCCAAAAACCGTAAGAAAATGAATTCGTTGTTAAAACTGAAAAAGTAGCCATATTGAAGTCTTGTGTATTTAGCAATAAGGTTCCTTAAACCGATTGCTTTCAAAATCATAAAACATACATAACAAAAACACTCACACTGGTCACCCAGATGGGTAGGTAGAGACTACAGACTTCCATTTGGCACGATCTTGACACACCTCTCTCGTCTCCTCCAAGTCCATATACTACGCATACATGCTTATATGTCGGTTAAGGGTACTCCTAATTTGGTCCATTTTCAATATATCGCCAATTTGGTCGATAAAATTTCGACTAAGATGTCCCTTTCCAAATCTGCCGTTCACTTCGGCAACATAAATTTGCTTTGTTACTCTTTCCTCATTCATTATTTCAACATGACCAAACCACCAATGCATTCCTTTCCTAATATTAGTCACATCATCTTGCAAACCACAAGTTTCTCTTATCGCACAATTTCTCGTCTTGTCACTCAGATTCAGCCCTAACGTACTCCTTAACGACCGCGTTTCTACTGCGTTTATTCTTCTACTACTACGTTAAAGTAGAGACTAACACAGCATTGTGAATTGCTACACGTGCCTTTTTTGACACATTCCGACTTTTCACAACAGAGTGTACAGCCCCGTTTACTCTACTTCCTGTGTTCAATCGTATCATATCTCCCATCCTTGCTAAACACATCCCAAATATACAAACTCATCTACTTGCTCGATAAACTCCCCTTCTATTCTTATTCCACATATCGTTTTACTTTCTTCTCTTTCAAAAAACCATAACTTTCGTCTTATTTGCGTCCTCTTTCATTCCTCTTTCTTTTAATGATCTATAATTTATTAATGTTTAACACTTATTACATACACTTATTATACTTTTATATCGATGTGTAACCATCATTTGCAACTCGACCATAGACGACGCAATATGATTTGATCATCGGCGTACAAAAAGCATTTGACGGTTAACTCAGCCATTCTTAACTGATTAGTGATAAGAATTCCTGCCAGCTGCCTTGCGGATTCAAAAAACAGCCGGAGTCTGAATTTGTATAAATACTTGTGTTTTTTCGATTCTGGTTATGGTGTAGTTGATCTCGTGTCTCTCATACTGCAGTGAACTTCGAGCATGTGTAACATAAAACGAATGAATGAAGCTTACATCTGAACACTTAAATATAATTAAAATAAACGTAACCACTGATTATGTGGGTCCGGGTCAGGCTTAAATGAAGTTTTTCAACTTGGAGTCAGAAAGTTGGTAGTATTATTTACATGCTGCAGTTATATTAGTAGTATAGTTGTAGCACGAATGGGTCGGCTCGACCGGGGAAGGACCACGCTCTCACAGAATACCAGCGTCAAATAGTAGCTTAATGCTGCTGTGTGTCGTATGGTGAATGTAGAGAACCGGAGACCCTATTTACTGGAAACGAGGCATTCCACCTAAGTCCTCACGGATGACAACGCATCTGCATTTTAATTCGTAACCGAGGATAGATGTAGATGTCTATGGGCCATAGCAACCACTTACCATCAGGTGGACTGTCTCCTCGTTTGTCATCCTATCCTATAAAAAAAGTATTTTATCCCGTGGCTCGAAAAGCACGTCGAGCCGTTAATGCTGTGTTAATTTCTTGGATTGTGGCGTGTTGCCGTCCTAATTATGAAAGTGAATAGTATATATATATAGTGCACCTGTGCGCGTATTTACGTGCTCTTAATTTTGTCCTAAGCTTGGTCGAAATGACCGAAATTCGTCTGGAGAACATTGTCATCCAATTTTAATTTCATATCCTCCTTTCTTTTATGAGTGTTAAGATATCTTACATAAGTGATATGTCTAATGCAAAGCAAAAGTCTCAAATTTTGATCAATTTAAAAAACGTGATTTAACGACTCCAAAAATTTTAATCTATACTGTCAAGTTCCTTGACCTACTCTGATTCTAACTTTTTTAAATTTAGTCTTTTTGAAATGGTGAAATAGCGATCTAAAAAAAGGAGCAAAGATTTCAAACGCTTCCATGTTATATAGTACGGAGGTTGTAGATCAATTTCAAAGTTATTCAAAATCTTCCAAGCGCTACTTAGGTTATATATTTTAGATTTAGACTTAGTTTGTTGGTACACCAACAGTTTTCTACATTTACAATACGAAACACAGTAGGTATTGTGTGTGAGCGTAGTCGAGTAGACCATTCGTGCTACTACTATACTACTAATATAACTGCAGCATGGCTCTACCACATATAAAATATATAATATATATCTATGTTATTACTTTCAAGGCATGACGTACTTACTTCTAGTAAATATGTATTTATTTGTAAAATTAGAAATATGTTTGAAAAGAAGATAACCTGATTGTTGCAGAATTACTATTCAGCTTCCCTTCTCTCCGACTGCTTTCCGTCGACAGTTGAGTATTTTACATCAGTACTTAATAGGCTTAATAAACTTTTTATGGTATTTTTCATAGTTAACTAGTGCAACGTTCAGGAGATGAGATGTGGTTGCGGTAATTAATTACTTTACACTGCTACCACACAGGCACAGAGCGTGTGCTATCTTTACAGAAGTCTCGCGCCTTTGAAATTGCTATAGTGTGGAATTAATAATGAATACGCTAAAAAATTGTTGCTAGCGTACAGATAAATATAATTTAATATGATGGGTGATCTAACTAGGATTAAACATGAAAAATAAAGGTAAAATAGTGACCGTTGTTACGTTACTGACGGATATTTAGGTGATGTTGTGGGGAAAAAACGCTCATTACAGTCATAGCATTTAATAGTAACTATATTAATTTGTAACTGTATTAATTGCAACTATACATAACACAATTTTAATCTTTATGCATAGCATTTACAAATAATAACAAAATTAAACCATAACAAGAACATAAATTGTTGATTAGCATCATTTTGAATCTTCACTTTTGTGTAAAGGATGCAGTGACGTCAGCCAGAAATATTTCTTCTACCATAATTACTTTCGACCGAAAACTGAAACAAATAAGTATTAATAATATTAGTAAGATATCTGGACTCCAAGAAACTGAAAGAATATGTTTTAATATTGCTGTCGGTCTGTGCCTTGACGACCTAGCTAGACAATCGAAAGAGGCAACTGCCGATGTTATACCTGTTTGATATACCTATAAAAATTATGAAATCATCACCCTGTACAAACCCGTTTCTTCTTGCAGAACTGGACCAATATTTTTTAGAACAATATTGGAGGGATTGTGGCCGTGTCTACATTTTTCTTTAATTTATTTGTTCGTTAAATTTGACTAACATCAGCGGTATAACTTGAAAGTTTTAGTAACTTTGTATGGTTCCTAATTATTTGAATCAATTTATGAAACACAGCAGTGGTAGATATAGACTGTATTTTGAACAAAATTTTGCTCTAGTTACATACATTACCCAGAGAGAAAACAGATAAATACGTATGTATGGTCTAAAGCTGCCTCGTGACATCCTCTTAATCATCCGATGTATTAGTACAAAATTTTAGGGCTCAGACAAAAATACATCCGAAATCTCACGGATCCGCTAAAAAGCCCAGCTACTAGCTCGGATTTGATCCGGCGCATAAGAAAACATTTGAATTTTCCTAAATCTACATTCGATCCTCATCAATAATAAATTTAATCCCGTTTATTACGACATAGCAACCGTGCTTGGGTTTTTTCGGACATCCGATATGTTATTTTTCGGCACAAGAGATGCTGTCGTTCAATAACGTACCTATGCAGTTGTATGAATTTGGCCATTCCGTGTTATGACAGAGTCACAACTGGAAAGACGAAACATTATTATTATTACTGAGAGAAAATTACTAATGTAGGTATTGTAACATACTAGGCATAGAGCTAGGATGACCATACTGAAATATCAAATGGCTTATCGAGGAACAGTGAATACGAAGTAAAGTATACCAGTATCTTTGTATTTGTTCCTTTTTTAATAACGGTAACAGCTGAACTTTAAATCTCAACTAAACACAATGTTTCTATTTAAAAAAGTTTAAAAAACTAACTAACGCCAGTACTAGCTAGCGGTCGACAAAACAAGTTTCTTTCCGGATTCAAGTGTATCGCGTGTAGTCGGTCGGTAAGTAGCATATTGAACTTAGCTTTTTTCCGGACCGGGGAGATTCGGTTGCTTGTAGTCGGAGCCTTAAGATTTAAAAACACAACTTGTAATCGATATTAATTTATATTAGAGCTAGAGTCAAAACATGTTTATAAAATGTAATTTTTTTTTTGTATTCTAGTGGCCTTTCAAGATAATTATACATCATATGATCTCTGTCTGAATTACTTGATACTTACTATTTGATTTTAATTACTTGATACTTACTAATGCAAAAAAGTAATTTAAAGCAACGTACCATTTTTAGTAATAAATCCAGAAGACCCTTGCGCGATAGCTGAACCAGGTGCTAAGCTTTTTCCAAAAGCATTAGAACTAATACCATTTTCAGTGGAGCCCTGATTAGACGCTATCAATCTTAATATTTTTAATCCACCAATCTGACCATTCAATGATTTATTGTTTTTTGGTAATTCGAGTCCAATGCCACTACTAGCACCATTGTTAATAGAACGTTCCAAACTTTGTATATTGTGACTGGGGTTAATAAATTCGCCTGCACCCTTAGTAGCAGCAACACTTGCTTGATATTCCACTCCACTTTGTGCTTCTTCTGTAGCTTTAGATCCTAAGGTACTTTGCTCGAAATTGGACTGCACTTCGGTTAAAGATTTATTAGGTATTAAATTATAGTTTGAATGTGCAGGATTTTCAGTTAAAGTGCCTTGAAGTCCACTGCTATGTACAATTGAAAAGTACTGGTTGTCATTAACGGTATTACCAGCGCTGGTGTTTATTTCTTTTTTAACAGGTTTCAGTACACCTGACGATCCACCAAACCCCCCAGAATATGAAGCTAGATTAAGTTCACGATGGGGAGTAGCCAAGGCTTGGTTATAATGGTTTGGATTATATTGTGATAGGATGTTTATGTGGTTTGCGGGAGCACTAAATTCATTTGGTTTTAAAATACCCGCTGGACCTCCAAAACCACCTGCATACGGCAGTTGAACAGTAGTACTAATTGGCTGACCTATTACAGAATTTTGTATGTTGGGTTTCGATAAATGGAAGTCACTCTGTTGTATATTAAATAAAGCCGAGTTACCTGAAAATTGTTGACTCGACGACTTTGATGGAACATATGCTGATTGAAAACCAGTTACTGATTCCAAATTATAATGATTTAATTCAGACACTTTTTGTGGTGATTTATTTAAAGATACAGGAGAAACAAAAGGTTTAGAAGTTAGAGGTGTATTTGAAGAAACTAAATTTGAAGGAAATATTCCTATTTGTACTCCAAAGTCACTGCTGGATTGCGGTTTATTCTGACTTGTGAATGAACTTGTTTGAGCTCCAGATTGTCCCCCAAAACTGGTTGTGAATGAGCCCAATACACCACTATTGCCGTATCCAGGAGGCGAGAAAGAAGTATATGCTGTACTATCCGGATAGCTAGTGGGTTTTGGCGTACCAAATGTCCCAAAAGTGTTAGATAATAAAGGTTTCTTCTGCGATCCGGACTCAAATACCTGCTTTTCTGGGAGTTGAGATTGAGGTTTGATGGGATAAGAATTTGAACCCAGTGTAGAGCTTTGTACTCCTGAGGAGGCAACATTAAATAATGATGGATTTTTTTGATTTGTAAGGTTGAATGAACTGCTTTGAGAAGGTTTGTTGGACGGTTGGTTTGTTTCTGTTTGCACTGTAGTAGTAACATCATCCTTCTTATCTGTTTTAGAAGTACTTGAAATAGCAGGACTAGAAGCATCCTTATGGTTTTCAGCGTTACTTTCAGAGCTTGGTGAATTTGATGAAATAAAGGGGGCAGGAGACGTGTTATAACTAGTATTAACGATAGATGGCTGTTGTGAAGCTGTATCACTTGATTGTTGTGGCGAACTAGAACCTGTTCCGAAATTGTTTACAATTGAAGAATCTTTCTGATCTGTAACCAAATAATCCTCATTTGGTTTAGCTATATTTAAAGGTGAAGGTGTGACAACGGGTTTGTAATTTGTGGGTTTGTAGGAAGAAATAAATGTGCTACTGGTTTGAGTAGGTTGGTTGGAAGGCTTAAGTACTCCAGATTGTCCCCCAAAACTGGTTGTGAATGAGGGTTTGTACTGATTCGTAGTTGTAAATTGACTTGTAGGTTTCGATTTATCTAATGACCCAAATACACCACTATTGCCATATCCAGGATAAGAAAAAGAAGTATATGCTGTACTACCCAGATAGCTAGTGGGTTTTGGCGTACCAAATGTCCCAAAAGTGTTAGATAATAAAGGTTTCTTCTGCGATCCGGACTCAAATACCTGCTTTTCTGGGAGTTGAGATTGAGGTTTGATGGGATAAGAATTTGAACCCAGTGTAGAGCTTTGTACTCCTGAGGAGGCAACATTAAATAATGGTGGATTTTTTTGATTTGTAAGGTTGAATGAACTGCTTTGAGAAGGTTTGTTGGATGGTTGGTTTGTTTCTGTTTGCACTGTAGTAGTAACATCATCCTTCTTATCTGTTTTAGAAGTACTTGAAATAGCAGGACTAGAAGCATCCTTATGGTTTTCAGCGTTACTTTCAGAGCTTGGTGAATTTGATGAAATAAAGGGGGCAGGAGACGTGTTATAACTAGTATTAACGATAGATGGCTGTTGTGAAGCTGTATCACTTGATTGTTGTGGCGAACTAGAACCTGTTCCGAAATTGTTTACAATTGAAGAATCTTTCTGATCTGTAACTAAATAATCCTCATTTGGTTTAGCTATATTTAAAGGTGAAGGTGTGACAACGGGTTTGTAATTTGTGGGTTTGTAGGAAGAAATAAATGTGCTACTGGTTTGAGTAGGTTGGTTGGAAGGCTTAAGTACTCCAGATTGTCCCCCAAAACTGGTTGTGAATGAGGGTTTGTACTGATTCGTAGTTGTAAATTGACTTGTAGGTTTCGATTTATCTGATGACCCAAATACCCCACTATTGCCGTATCCAGGAGAAGTGAAAGAAGTATATGCTGTACTATCCGGATAGATAGTGGGTTTTGGCGTACCAAATGTCCCAAAAGTGTTCGATAATAAAGGTTTATTCTGCGATCCGGACTCAAATACCTGCTTTTCTGGGAGTTGATATTGAGGTTTGATGGGATAAGAATTTGAACCCAGTGTAGAGCTTTGTACTCCTGAGGAGGCAACATTAAATAATGATGGATTTTTTTGATTTATAAGGTTTAATGAACTGCTTTGAGAAGGTTCGTTGGAAGGTTGGTTTGCTTCTGTTTGTACTGTAGTGGTAACATCATCCTTCTTATCTGTTTTAGAAGTACTTGAAATAGCAGGACCAGAAGCATCCTTATGGTTTTCAGCGTTACTTTCAGAGCTTGGTGAATTTGATGAAATAAAGGGGGCAGGAGACGTGTTATAACTAGTATTAACGATAAATGGCTGTTGTGGTGCTGTATCACTTGATTGTTGTGGCGAACTAGAAACTGTTCCGAAATTGTTTACAATTGAAGAATCTTTCGGATCTGTAACCAAATAATCCTCATTTGGTTTAGCTATATTTAAAGGTGAAGGTGTAGCAACGGGTTTGTAATTTGTGGGTTTGTTGGAAGAAATAAATGTGCTACTGGTTTGAATAGGTTGGTTGGAAGGCTTAAGTACTCCAGATTGTCCCCCAAAACTGGTTGTGAATGAGGGTTTGTACTGATTCGTAGTTGTAAATTGACTTGTAGGTTTCGATTTATCTGATGACCCAAATACACCACTATTGCCGTATCCAGGAGAAGGAAAAGAAGTATATGCTGTACTATCCGGATAGCTTGTGGGTATTGGCGTACCAAATGTCCCAAAAGTGTTAGATAATAAAGGTTTATTCTGCGATCCGGACTCAAATACCTGCTTTTCTGGGAGTTGAGATTGAGGTTTGATGGGATAAGAATTTGAACCCAGTGTAGAGCTTTGTACTGCTGAGGAGGCAACATTAAATAATGATGGATTTTTTTGATTTGTAAGGTTGAATGAACTGCTTTGAGAAGGTTTATTGGACGGTTGGTTAGTTTCTGTTTGCACTGTAGTAGTAACATCATCCTTCTTATCTGTTTTAGAAGTACTTGAAATAGCAGGACCAGAAGCATCCTTATGGTTTTCAGCGTTACTTTCAGAGCTTGGTGAATTTGATAAAATAAAGGGGGCAGGAGACGTGTTATAACTAGTATTAACGATAGATGGCTGTTGTGATGCTGTATCACTTGATTGTTGTGGCGAACTAGAACCTATTCCGAAATTGTTTACAATTGAAGAATCTTTCTGATCTGTAACCAAATAATCCTCATTTGGTTTAGCTATATTTAAAGGTGAAGGTGTGACAACGGGTTTGTAATTTGTGGGTTTGTAGGAAGAAATAAATGTGCTATTGGTTTGAGTAGGTTGGTTGGAAGGCTTAAGTACTCCAGATTGTCCCCCAAAACTGGTTGTGAATGAGGGTTTGTACTGATTCGTAGTTGTAAATTGACTTGTAGGTTTCGATTTATCTAATGACTCAAATACACCACTATTGCCATATCCAGGATAAGAGAAAGAAGTATATGCTGTACTACCCAGATAGCTAGTGGGTTTTGGCGTACCAAATGTCCCAAAAGTGTTAGATAATAAAGGTTTCTTCTGCGATCCGAACTCAAATACCTGCTTTTCTGGGAGTTGAGATTGAGGTTTGATGGGATAAGAATTTAAACCCAGTGTAGAGCTTTGTACTCCTGAGGAGGCAACATTAAATAATGATGGATTTTTTTGATTTGTCAGGTTGAATGAACTGCTTTGAGAAGGTTTGTTGGACGGTTGGTTTGTTTCTGTTTGTACTGTAGTGGTAACATCATCCTTCTTATCTGTTTTAGAAGTACTTGAAATAGCAGGACCAGAAGCATCCTTATGGTTTTCAGTGTTACTTTCAGAGCTTGGTGAATTTGATGAAATAAAGGGGGCAGGAGACATGTTATAACTAGTATTAACGATAGATAGCTGTTGTGATGCTGTATCACTTAATTGCTGTGGCAAACTAGAAACTGTTCCGAAATTGTTTACAATTGAAGAATCTTTCTGATCTGTAACCAAATAATCCTCGTTTGGTTTAGCTATATTTAAAGGTGAAGGTGTAACAACGGGTTTGTAATTTGTGGGTTTGTTGGAAGAAATAAATGTGCTACTGGTTTGAGTAGGTTGGTTGGAAGGCTTAAGTACTCCAGATTGTCCCCCAAAACTGGTTGTGAATGAGGGTTTGTACTGATTCGTAGTTGTAAATTGACCTGTAGGTTTCGATTTATCTGATGACCCAAATACACCACTATTGCCGTATCCAGGAGAAGAGAAAGAAGTATATGCTGTACTATCAGGATAGATAGTGGGTTTTGACGTACCAAATGTCCCAAAAGTGTTAGATAATAAAGGTTTATTCTGCGATCCGGACTCAAATACCTGCTTTTCTGGGAGTTGAGATTGAGGTTTGATGGAATAAGAATTTGAACCCAGTGTAGAGCTTTGTACTACTGAGGAGGCAACATTAAATAATGATGGATTTTTTTGATTTGTAAGGTTTAATGAACTGCTTTGAGAAGGTTCGTTGGAAGATTGGTTTGTCTCTGTTTGTACTGTAGTGGTAACATCATCCTTTTTATCTGTTTTAGAAGTACTTGAAATAGCAGGACCAGAAGCATCCTTATGGTTTTCAGCGTTACTTTCAGAGCTTGGTGAATTTGATGAAATAAAGGGGGCAGGAGACGTGTTATAACTAGTATTAACGATAGATGGCTGATGTGGTGCTGTATCACTTGATTGTTGTGGCGAACTAGAAACTATTCCGAAATTGTTTACAATTGAAGAATCTTTCGGATCTGCAACCAAATAATCCTCATTTGGTTTAGCTATATTTAAAGGTGAAGGTGTAGCAACGGGTTTGTAATTTGTGGGTTTGTTGGAAGAAATAAATGTGCTACTGGTTTGAGTAGGTTGGTTGGAAGGCTTAAGTACTCCAGATTGTCCCCCAAAACTGGTTGTGAATGAGGGTTTGTACTGATTCGTAGTTGTAAATTGACTTGTAGGTTTTGATTTATCTGACGACCCAAATACACCACTATTGCCGTATCCAGGATAAGAGAAAGAAGTATATGCTGTACTACCCAGATAGCTAGTGGGTTTTGGCGTACCAAATGTCCCAAAAGTGTTAGATAATAAAGGTTTATTCTGCGATCCGGACTCAAATACCTGCTTTTCTGGGAGTTGAGATTGAGGTTTGATGGGATAAGAATTTGAACCCAGTGTAGAGCTTTGTACTCCTGAGGAGGCAACATTAAATAATGATGGAGTTTTTTGATTTGTAAGGTTGAATGAACTGCTTTGAGAAGGTTTGTTGGAAGGTTGGTTTGTTTCTATCTGCACTGTATTAGTAACATTATCCTCCTTATTGACTTTAGGAGTACTTGAAATAAAGGGAGCAGGGTTCGTATTATAATTAGCGCTAATCATAGATGGCTGTTCTGTTGCTGATAAAATATTTGATGAACCTCCTGTGTTTGTAGTTTCCTTTTGGCCTGTGACTGTAAATCCAAGGTAAGATTTTGATGTATCATATACTTCAGGATTTTCAAGCGCCGAAGCAAAGGTGGAACTTGGAGATAACTGATCAAAAGGCTTTAGTACCCCTGCTGGTGCTCCAAAACTACTGGTGTATAAGGACTGTTTGGTTGGTTTGTTTGATAATTTTTCTGAAGATTCATTACCGGCATTATCATTCTCATAATTAACGTTGTAGTTAGAGGAAGAATTAGGGCCATTGTTAGGATAAGCCTGGACAGCGACTTGAACTTTATTAATTGGTTTTGATTCACTGAACCCATCAATAGTAGGTTTATTGAACTTTGAAGGTATCTGCAAGAAAAATTGAGGTTTAGATGAGTCTTCAATTGATTGTGACAATGTTCCATCACTCGTATGAGTAGTTTCATAGAAATGTTGCAAGATGTGAACTTGATCGTCATTTGGTTTTAATACACTTAATGGTTTTCCAATGTTGTTTGCAAATGTTGGTTCTATTTGGACAGCGTAGGTGGGATTTCTTTCAGGTTTATATGATATATCAGCGTTGAAATTTGAAGATCCGCTACTAAGTGGTTGAACAGTGGGTTTCGTTTTGTCTGTTGACCCTTTATTTGTATAAGCGTACGATGGTTTTATAGTGTTTTCAGGAGTATAGTCGAAGCCTTCTGGTTTCGTCGTAACGGGTGCACTTAACTGCACATTAGGTTTATAATTTAGGAAGGCGTTAGCCGAATCATTACTTTTAAATATAGAACCTTTATCAAAAGGCTTCAGTATTCCTGGAGGCCCTCCAAAGCCACCATTATAATTGGGTTTTTTCTCACTAATCTGATAATTCTCACTAGATGCCACTGTAATCTGTGGAACTGTATTTCCTTCTAAGCCGTTAGGAAAAGTGAGATAGGCAGAGCCACCTGTTACTATTTGGCTAGATTCCTTTTGCACCTTCGGCGTTTCTTTAAAATTGACTGATTGGTCAGGTACTTTTGAAATTGTTGTGAAATTTAGAGCGTTAGGTTTTGAGATTTCGTACGTTTCACTTTTCAGGGAACCTTCACCTAAAGTCGAGCTAGGATTTTTTTCTTGTTTTTCGGATGGAACTTGGTATTGAAAATCTGAAGCGCCACTATTATTTAAATATAGATCATTAGAGTTTTCAGATGGATAAGATCCTGTTATTTCAGTTTGGCCATTAGCTCCAGTTGTAGCAACAATACTGGTATCACTGAAACTGGTAATAGAATTCTTATTTACTTGCGGGAACGTCAATATATTTTGGCCAACAGCTTGAGCTTGAGTAGTAAAGCTTGTACCATATCCAGGCCAAGGCGCTCGATTATCTTGAGCACTGTTATGACTAAATGAACTTGAGCCCAAAGCAGTGCCACCTGACGCAGAGATTGAGGATGAAGGCTTGGAGAAACTGCCCCTATAACCGGCATTCGATGCCACAGGTTGCACTACTCCAAATATTCCGAATGGAGCAGTCACCGCACCAGCTAAAAAGATATTGATAACAATTATATTGCATTTATATGCTTTTAAAAATAGTTATTGTTAGCTTATACTATCTTTATTGTAAATGACTAAAATAACATAATTATAATACGTTAGAATATGAGATTAAAATTTTATAACTTAAAAAGTATTTTGTGAATTCCTAGGAATGTGTTTCTTGTTCATAAAAACTCTTCCATCTATTTGCCGTCAATTCACTTACTTATTGTTCGCAGTCCCTAAGGGCTACGGCTTATGATATATATAAAAACTAACTTACCAGGCAGACGTTGTTCTGCCCTTTTCGACGACCCTTTGTCATGTCCTATTAAAAATCCTTAAATTCGCAAAAAAAATTGTGGGTACATGGGAAAAAAACTATCCTATCTTTCAAGTTGGACCAAACTGCACACGGTGTGCAAATTTAATTAAAATCGGTTAAGTAGTTTAGGAGTCCATCGCGGACAAACAACGTGACACGTAATTTATGTATATTAAGATTTCGCTGTACCGGTGCGCTGGTGTTGTGTGGTGGCAGATATGTGCTCTTAACAAATTATATAAAAGTTTACGTTTGAGAAGCACTACAACCATCATAATAAAAAAGTGGACGCTCACATTTATAAAGAAGCCTCGCAACTGGTTAGAAAAGTTCAACGGTCAATTGTCTTGCATTGGTCATGGTTTGGAAGGAGTGTTCTAACAAGAGGTCACGTAGCTTCATTTTTGTAAAAAGGAAGACAAGTGACTTCGGTCTTTATCAAGAGATCGTATAGCAAATGCTTTTAGTGATACACATTTTTGAAAAATGGCCATGTAATTTCCAGCAAGACTTTGCTCGTAGTCATAAGCCACAAACGACTAAAACTTGGCTCGAGAACAACGTTCCGGACTTTACAAGGCTTGTCCAATCCAGACCTGAACCCGTTGGACTACAAATTCTCGTCAGTATTAAAAGACTTGGTCTGCTCAAAAGGTTACTTAGACAGTGTGTATCTCAGAAAATCTTTAGAGCTAACACTAGCTAAATTCCCCATGGAGACGGTGTGTTAGCCCACAGATACAAAAGGCTTGTGGTAAAGCTAAATGTGGTCATTATAAATAAATTTGTTTTTTTAATAATCACTTAAATTTCAATAAAAAAGTACACATAATTTGAATTATTATTATGTATACCGTTAATTTAAAAATAAATGGTCACAGTAGTTATTAAATAATATAATAGTTTTTATACTATTTCGCAGATAAAAATTATACATGCGATAATTTTAAATTAATGCAACGTAAATAATTTAAAATTAGCGTGGTGTGAATAAAATAATTATATTATGGACTAATTTTAAGGAACGCATAAAAAGTGTATATAAAACACAATATCAAGGAAATGTTATGACAATAAAAGTTCTTAATTTGGATTTTTCTTATTATTCGTTAATTTAAAATTACAAACGTCGAAAAGGCCATCATAATATGACATAAATTAATCAAATAAAGAAAAAATTTACAAAAAGAATTATATTTGCACTTAACATTTTATTCATTTTTTTTTCATAAATACTTAAGAAAGGCTACAACGCGCGCTATAATCAGTACGTAGTGTCGCCTCTTCTAGCTCTTCGAACTGCTTCTAGTCTTCTTGGCATATTCCTAATCAAGTTATCAATAAAATCTTGAGAAGTTTCGTTCCATTCTTCCTGTAATGTGTTTTTAAGATCTCCCAACGGGACGGGATTTCTTTTCTTAATTTGTCTTCTAAGCTATATTATATACATTCATAAATGATCTATGGAGTTAAGTCGGGCGAGCGCACTAGCCACCCCATAGCATAGATTTCAACGTATCAAAGGTACGGAAACGTGCGTGAAATCTCATTTAAAACATATCATGTAAATGAGACGCCGTACGTGTAAGTGACCCATTCTCAATGACGCGGAATTCCTTACTGACCCTCCACCATATGCCTCTTTTCCAATGATGTTGCATTGAGCGTACCTCTCTCCCGAATATCTTCACATCTTACTTTAGACAAAATCTGGACTCAGCTATGAATGAACTTCGTCATTCCAATTTTCGTTTCAATTAAAGTAACAGCCCTAGCAACTTGAGTGGCATAGCTGTTTTTAATATTTCTATGGGCATAGATCTGGCATTCTCAGTATATTTGCAGTAATAGTTCACACTCTGCACGATAAACAAGACATTCAAGGCAAAAATTTAAACGAAATCTAAATTTAAACTCAAATTCAAACATTGGCTAAACTTTTTGTAGTATAAAAGAAGAACGCAATAATTACATACAAATAAATAAAATTCGAAAAAAAAAAACATTGCAAAACTTTATTTTCTTAATAGCATTCATTAATGTTTGTAGCCAGTATGAACTTCGATCAACAATGTTGATCGAAGAGTACGAAAGTTAATAATAACAGGGGACATATTTTTTTACGTTCCTCTAAATTTGTCCATAAGTGTAAGGGCTAATAATCTTCCGTTCACCAGATGTCTCTAGACGGGTGTGAGGTGAAGTTTTTGTTACACAATGTCGTATAGTTGAGAAGTTACGTTTTAAATGAAATTGTATCGACTTCTAGAGTATTATATTAATACATAAAACATTGCCTCAGTGGATTGCTCCTTAATATTTTTCACATTTAGGCATATACGTAATTTGGTTTATTTATTTCTGATCTTAGTAATATAAAATATAACTGTTTTAACAGAAACATTAACTCTTACATTTTCCTAACAAATTAACTTTCCCGACATGTAATCTGACAAATATTTTCACTTTAATCCTAAGTGACGCCGCGTCCCCCCGGTGTCAATATAAGACGTGGATGCCCTCATTGTTTCACTTTCATTATCAGTCAGGTTGTAATTTATATTTGATGGATAAATTTTATTTGGTGATTGCAAAATCAGCCACTTAAAATAGAAAAATATACAAACTATCTCATTATTGGGTATGTCCTTTTCTAATTTGAACAAAGAACACCGATAGCTAACGGCTAAAGCTAAAGGCTAACGCTAAATAACAGATTTAAAGTTAAAGAGCTGATTTCTTTCCTATCAGGGAATGGTTATGTAAGATAAAAGCGGAGACTTTAAAAGAAGGTCAAGAAAGGAGAATAAAGAAGTAACGATTTTTATATATAATAAAGGCGGTTTGACTGGTCGCCCATTGTTGCTTTAGTTATTGGTAGGTTTAACAATAAAGAGTAAATACGTGTTACGTACGTGTTCTTTACGTGGTAGAGCCCTGCTGCAGCTATATTAGTAGTATAGTTGTAGCACGAATGGGTCGGCTCGACCGGGGAAGGACCACGCTCTCACAGAATACCAGCGTGAAATAGTAGCTTAATGCTGTATTTCGTATGGTGAGTGTAGAGAACCGGAGACCCTTTTTACTGGAAATGAGGCATTCCATCTCAGTCCTCACGGGTGACAACGTATCTGCATTTTGATTTGTAATGGAAGATAGATGTAGATGTCTATGGGCCGCAACAACCACTTACCATCAGGTGGACTGTGTGCTCGTTTGTCACCCTATCCTATAAAAAAAAAAATATGTATTCTAGAATCTAGGTATTATTACCTCTAAAAACAATATATATAATATAATGGCGAAAAAATAAAGATAACATATCGTATTTTTCAATAGATGGAGAGACGATCTGGTAACACGTCGAAGTTGATGAATGCAAGTGACACACGACAGTGTTTTATGGCATTCTTTGGGCACCCAGTATGTTCAGCTATGGAGTTGTTAGTAACCGATATGACTATATATATTATTATAGTGACCTGATAATGTGATATAATGTGACTAGAGTGAATAATTGATGATAGTAAACTAATGTTCCAAATTGATATTTTATACTTAAATGAAATATTTTTACTGCTTAGGGTCAAAGTAAAGTAGTTATAATCATCGGCGTTATTTATTATGTAGTTATAGGTAATTATTTGAAAAAAAAAAGAACAAATTGAGAATGGTGCAAATTAAAATTAATTATTTATTATAAAATCAATAGATAATTGTAACTAACAATAGAATAGTTAAGAATATTAAAATTAAACAGAAAGAAGTACATAATTAACATTTCAATTATTTTATACTAATGCTTAATACTGTTAATTATAATTTAACTCAACGTAAAATTAAATGTGTAAGTAATATTATATTATGTAAGTAACCAACCTTTCGCTGACGCACCGCTACCTTTCACGCTGAAACCAAATGGGGTAGCGATCACAAGGTTCGTTAGGGTCAACACTAAAGCACACAAGAGCTTCATTGTGATGAAGCTTTCCGACTACAATTTAGTCGTGATGCCGTCTCTTTTATAAAGCGATAGATACATAAATAAGCGCATCTAGCTAAAAACCAGTTGTTGTTATTATTAATTCGCAGTATAGTCCACACAGGTCCGACATTACTTCCCGTCCTTATTTCTAAAATAGCGCCTCTCCACGCATCTTAATTAGATGGTTCCACTCGAAATTATCAGTCATGTTCTCTCAGCGAGGATAGGATTAGTGATGGAAAATACAGCAACAAAATATATTTCGCTCCATCGACATGCATTCCTTAATAATGATGAAATTAGTAATTTAGTATTTACATACCAACGATTATTTACTTCTTATAAAAAATACAAGACATGTACGTGATAAAGCCATGTTGCAGCTATATTATTGCTGCAACATGAATGGGTCTTCTCGATCAGAAAAGGACCAAATTCACGAACTAATAAGAGTACTAAGGTAACTGAATTCTTTCTAGATGGCAGCGAAAAATAGCAGTATCCCACTACTGTAATTGTGCGGTTAGTGACGAGGTGATGAGAACTGCAGAACTGTTTTCTTATTGACCAGGCATTCCTCATTATGACTTCGTTATAATGCTTAATCGAAGATGAATAAAGGCTTCCTCAATAGGCCATAGCGGGTCTCTACACTCACCATACGAAACACAACGGCATTGAGCTGCTATTTGACGATGGTATTCTATCAGAGCGTGGTCCTTCCCCGGTCGAGCCGACCCATTCGTGCTACAACTATATACTAATACTCCTAAGCAGAAAATAGGAAGAAGTATAGGCAGGCCTAGGTAAAAAAAGAATCTACCACAGCACCCAATAGTGTATTAAGCTTTGACGGTCAGAAGAGAAATAGTATAAATACAGGTTATGATGCATTTTGTCTCAGTATTCAGGTTGATTACAACGTATCTTGTAAACCATAATTGCTTAAAATGGATCGCACGTTTACCCGGGCTCCAATAACCACAAATCATCAGGTATTAAAATACCGAACAAATACAAGTAAGGAGGTAGATTAACGATAAGTAGGTAACCCTGTAAGTAGTGATGAGTGAGTTTGCGAGTATCAAAATACTAGGTTGATCAATAAGTTTTTGGAATAGGGCACTTATCAATGCGTTATAAAAATGAGTTCTATTTTTTTTTCGAATCTTAAATTCGTTAGGAGCCAAAGAAAATCCAAATATATCCAATTTTTTTTTTCAAATTTTAAATTTGATTCGTATGCAAAACTCTAAATTTGTGCGTGTGGTGTGTGTGTCAGTCAGTGGCAGACAATGCTCCGTCTAATTCGACATTGCCATACTAGTGCGCTGAATTCAAACACGGCAGAACCGCCTGAAAAGATGACACTCGCTCCGGGCGTCCAACGCCGACCGCTACGCAAGAAAACGTTAAAAAAATCAAAGAAATTGTTAAGGTATGGTGGTGTGACCATCGGTTATTTAGCTAAGATTCCAAAGATTTCATTAGGGACAATTCAGTTTTTAACTCATACCTTAAAATTTAAAAAAGAAGACGCACAAATAAACAATAATACACCATTTTGACCCACAGACGAAAAACCAACACACACGACAAAAAGACCATCTTTCCCGCCAGCCAAAAGGTTCAAGGTGTCTGAGACCACTGGAAAAATAATGGCCTCTGTCTTCTGGACTGGGAAAGGTATAACATCGAGACAATAACTGAAGATATTACGCATCATTAATCAAAAAATTACGCTAAGAACTAAAGAATAAACGTCGACTAAAATTGCGTGCTGAAGTGCTTTTTTATCATGATAATGCCCCTGCCCATCGATCTGATGTCGGATGTCACGCTGCCATATGAACTGCTGGGTTTCAGTTGATGCCGCACCCACTATATTCTCCGGAACTAAATCCGAGTGATTTTTACCTTTTTATTCACCTGAAAAAGCACTTGCGAGGTATACAGTTCGATGACGACTATGAGGTGATGTGTGCTGTTGAGGCTTTTTCGAGTCCTAAGATCAAGCCATTGGTAAAAAACCAAGGAAATTAACCAGCTTACAAGATGCTATTCAAAGTGAATTAGCTTAAAAGGCGTTTACGTTGAAAAATAAAGACAATTTACATATTGAATATACGCGATAAAATCAGTAAAAACTAGTTTTATTTAAATTTACATAATACACTTATCCTAGAGTTTCATCTTCCAAAAACTTATTGATCAACCAGTAGGTAACATAAATGGTAATAAGATAGATTGCGTTGACAGAAGCTTAAATTTTACACATCCAAGGGACAGTAGATTTTATTATTAGATATCGACTTCAACTTGATGCCTCGAGCAGCTGTCCTCATTACCATCATAGTGGTGGCACTCGGTTGCCTGCTCTTTTGTATATGACACATGTTCTTACCAAAACAGCCATGCCGCTTTTACCTAAGGACGACACGGAGGGTGTCCGTACTCGAAGTTAACGCCAGCAGGAGACGGGCAAGAGACGATTTGGTAGTGCAACGCCGCAGACGTATGAGGACCAGCTGTCGGCCACGGAGGCCGGCCCGTCAGCAGCTCCTACATCTGCAGCACCTGACTTACGTGCTCTGATGATGATCCTGCAGGAACAAGCCCGCCGACAGGAGGAACAGGCTCGTCGGTTGGAAGAACAGCTGTACCGCAGACAGGAGGAACAGGCCCGTCGGTTGGAAGAACAGGTGTAGCGCAGACAGAAGGAACAGGCCCGTCATTTGGAAGCTCAGGAGAAACATGCCCGCCTTTTGGAAGAGCAGCTCAAACGCGATAAGGAAGAGCAGATACTCCTTATGAAGGACCTTCACGTTACCTTTGGGAAAGAGACAAGGGGGGTGAAAGATAGGGTTGCTCAATATGACAACCGCCTGTTGGTAGCTGAAACTCGAATCGACCGAATTTACAATTGGGTTGACAACGTGATGGCTGACATGAAGAAAACGCTGGACGACCTCAAACTTGGGGATGAAATTACAGCTCCCGTAATAGCTACAACACTTTTGCTACGTGGATCCAAAGTGCCACCGTTCGACGACACTTCTTCCAGGGCGGCCTGCAAGATCCCGTTCGGGGCTGTCATGAAGGCGAACGGCTGGAATAAAAGTCAGGCCGTGACTGCTCTCACACTAGGCCTGCGCGACCCAGCCTTAACTATTCTGGAAGCTCTCGGTAAAGAAGTGACTTACGAGCTTAACTGGAACACTTCTTTCGTGCGCAGCTTAACGATCGCATGCAACGCATCAACGAAATCCTACAGCAGTGGGCCCTTGAGGTGGAGAAGCTAGTTCGAAAAGCATACCGATCTGTACCTGCGCTCATTAAAGGGAACCTGGTGCAGACATTCATCGACGGCATCCGCGACCTTAAAGTAGGAGCTACTAGCTTTAGAGCTAGTGAGGCTCGGGTACCACGCGACGCTTAACGCTGCCTTGGCCCATGCACTGAAGGTGAAATCAGTGCGGCAGGATCATCGCTCCCATCGCGTCAGGGAGGTTGCAGCAGCTACAGTTTGTGACCGCAATAAGGGATAAAGCCCTAGGTGCTTTGGCAAAGGGGCCATCTTCAATCCCGCCGCCCTAAGCAAACTGTAAAAAGGGAAGGTAATCGATCTCGAGGGGTAGTGCAGTTTATTTTTTTTTAAATTTATTTTATACACATACTACACAGTCATTACAGGATGATCACCCTAATTCGACAGTGTAAGCCAACGATACAATACTACATGCCACTCTACTTAGCTCACTCAGCGAAAATGAAGACAAATCAGTTCGCTCCGACATGGTGTTGATGATGTTGATCACACGCAGCGCGCGCGCGAACGGCGCTAGCTGCATAAGTGCGGTGCGCGTGCGCGGCACCGCTAGTAACGACGGCCGCCGCCGACGCCCCGCCCACCCATCCGGCGCATTGAGTCGCACCATCTTCAACACTCTCGGGTTGTGTATCCTACCCCTCATCACCTTCAACACGTACACCAAGGATGATGTTAACACTTGGAGGAAAAGTGGGTATAAGATTCCTTACACCCTAAATTTCACTTCCTCCTGTGTGTAGATATCGTATTTTACAAGAAAATAAAAATAAGTCATAGGCGTATGATAAATAATTATACTTTCGATATTAAATTCAAATTTTCAAACAAACCGATTCTTAGGACTCATAGTTAAACCTGCTGGAAATAGATTAGGTACGTCTAAACCTACAAGAGTAATTTAAATTTTCAGCTTCGGCGTGTGACCACGTGGTGCATTTTATCTGAACATTAGTCTACTACTAGAATAAGGTAAGAGCCGTAGTAGCTCAAATGGTCGCGGCTTACTGTAAATTTCACAGCACACGAGCAACCCGGGTTCGATCCTCGCCGGCACCAATGAAATTGTTAATTGCAATTTTAAGTACTGATTTACCACGTGCTCGGCGGTGAAGGGAAACATCGTGAGGGAACCTGAATGTCTGAGATATAAGAAAAAAATATTTTGAGGAAATGTGAAGTTCGCCAACATGCAAATGAGTCAGCGCGGCGGACCCTTCCTTGCCCTAAAACCCTGCCTCGGCCTGTGCCTAGTAGTGGGACGTATATGTGCTGTAACTTTAACTAGAATAAGTACCAAGTATTTTTATAGCATAAGGGTGACAAACGAGCTCACAGTCCACCTATGGTAAGTGAATGCCGCTCATAGATATTTAGATTTATCCTCAATTAAGAATCAAAATGCATATGTGTTGTTTAATTTCCAGTAAGAAGAAACTGTTTTTCTGCCACTGTGCACTGCTGTGTTCTGGTCTGAAGGGTTTAGAGAGCTAGATATAACGAGGAAAAATAAAAAAACTGCGTTCACAAACTTGTGTGATAAGATAAGAGTGGTTTGCATGAAGTTGTGACCAGAAAGGAATGCTTTGGTGGTTTGGTCATGCTTTAACTATGTGTATGGCAAAGTTGGGGTGAGTTAATCCTGTATATGTACCAAAAATTT